CTCACCTCTGAACTTGGAGGGGCTAAGATCGAATTGGATTAATAGGAAAAGAGATAACCCTTTCCATTTTGTTGCCTTTGCTGGCATTTTCTTTTTGCCTTGAGATCAACAAAAATGATGGAATCTCAGGAAGTGGAATTTGGTCTGTCTCCTAGTGGTTTTTGGCGTTATGTTTTTTCTTCTCTCTTTTTTCTATTTTGAGAACTCTTTTTCTCTGCTTCTTCTTTTTCTACTTTGGCCAAGTTCTGTAGGAAGAATCAATTGAAGAAGAATCCCCTGAAAATGATGATGTTTGTTGGGTTAGCTTAATTAGGAATTTACAACTAACTTATTTTGGATTTTTGGGTTTAGGGTGTTAAATTTCAGAGAGATGGGTCAGCGGCCCACTACTTACAACACCGATATTGTCCCCAACTTAATTACCTACAAAGCCCAGTAGGTATGGGGTTTTATCACAAAAGGCCTTGGTGATATTAGTAGTGGAATATATTGTATTTTATTTAGTCAAGTTTCCGATGTGGGACTTATATTCTTCAACATGCCCCCTCACGTGGGATCACCACATATTGGGCCACACGTGGAGCCAAGTCCATATCGGAGTCAATCATTTAAGCCCAACACGTATTGGGTAAGGGGTAGGGGTAAAAATTCAAGCCCAATATATGAACACCACATATTAGGTAGGGTATAGGCCCAATTCAGGCCCAGTCAATCAACCTGCTCTGATACCATGTTAAATTTCAGAGAGACGGGCCAGCGGCCCACTATTTACAACACCGATATTGTCCCCAACTTAACTACCTACAAAGTCCAGTAGGTATGGGGTTTTATCACAAAAGGCCTCGGTGATATTAGTAGTGGAATATATTGTATTTTATTTAGTCAAGTTTCCGATGTGGGACTTATATTCTTCAACATAGGGATTTCTTCTCCTTCCTCTTTCTGGGTTTTGGGTTTAGGAATTTACAAACCATGGCTTCATGGTTGGCGACAACACCAGCTTGGTTATATGAATTTCCCAACTTGCCCTTAATTTTGACAGAAAATTTAACTCAATTGACGAAAAGACCAATGATGCAATATGAGATCTAATTGAAACACACTGTAACAATTTTGCGACATGAGGGACAAAAAGTAAAGTTGTTTCTTATTTGAGGGACCATTGCTACAATTTTGCCTACAAAAAAATTTCACAAATCCCAATATTAAAGCACCCTACTCAGACATGTAAAAAGGGAGAGAAAAAAAAACACAAAGCTTAAGCTTAAGTAAACAAAAGAGGAAGAGAAAGAGAAGGAAAAAAATTAGGAGTTTTTAGTGCAAATATCATAACATAACCTAGTAGACATAATTGAAAGTAGAAGAGTGATTATGAGCCAGTTTGGCATTGCTGTGGTGTGAAAATAATCGCTATCAGAGAAAGCAATTTGGCGTTTGGTAAAATTTTTGTTCAAAGTGCTGTTGGTATTGATTCCCGCATAATCAAAAAATGATTGCCACATAATCATTAAACACAGCGCATCTTCGAAATTGATTCCTGCATAATCAAAAAATCAAAAAATGAAAGCACTTCATTAGTTGTTTTCCCTTATAGCTTTATTTGACAGAAATTTTTTACAATAAGTGATTTTCTCATAATTTACCAAACGGGCTGGCTTCCTAAATTTTTTTTAAAATCACTTATCACCCCAAATAAGCAATGTCAAACAATCACTAAGAAGTTTAATGGTTAATTTGTAGACAAAAATAATATAATATATTGTTTATTTTACAATAAATTTCCCAAATATAATATAATATATTATAATATTTATATCATATATGATTTTAAGGCCAAAAGTCACTTTTAGTCCATGTAGTTTGCCTCTTTTTCACTTTTGGTCACTATAGTTTCAATTCGGTCACTTTTACCATTGTAGTTTCTTGATTGTAGCAATTTAAAGACAATTAAAGAATTCCGTCAGTTTTATTCACGTTGTCAGGAGTATTTATGTCCAATTCTACCATTTCAACTATTTTATTCAAGTTGAAACTTCGGAAATGCTAGCAAAAACAATCATTTGGTGCATTTGCTCCTAAAGCCACATAACTATTGGCTATTATAGAAGGATTGCAGTTTGCTCTTGACGTGGGCTTCATGTCCCTTTTTGTTGCACTAATGTTCAGGTAGTGGTTAATCATCTTGCTAAGCTGGTAGTCATTTTGGTGCAGATGGGGTTCGTTTTCATGATTTGCAAGTTTTGGCACTCTGTTTTCATTCTATAATTTCTTTTAGGGTTATTGATCCCAATGGTCCCCCAACTATTGCTCCAATATCATTTTGGTCCACCAACTAAAATTTTCATTTTAATGGTCCTTCGACTCTTCATTTGGTATCAAAATGGTCCTACAGTCAAAGTTTGTCAAATATTCCGTTAAATTGAGGGGCAAAAAAGTAAAGGGTTAATTACTCAAATGGTCCCCAAACTTGTAAGCGATTTACATTTTGGGGCCTCAATTAAATTATTCGTTCAAATGGTCCATCAACTCTATATTA